CCTTCATCTCCACAGGGCAGCTACCCGAGAATGAGGCCCGCGTTAAACTGGCAAAGCTGAGGGCTCCTAGCTACACCATCGAAGATGGGAGGCTCTACAAACGATCTTACAATGGCACGCTACTTCGGTGCCTTCATCCAGATGAAGCCGAGGTCGCAATGGAGGAAGTGCACAGTGGCACTTGCTCAGCTCACCAGGGACCCTTCTCCATGTCCCGAAGGCTCATTCTCCAGGGCTACTTCTGGCCAACCATGGCCAGGGATTGTGCTGACCTTGCCCGGAGGTGCACCGCATGTCAACATTTCCAGAAAGCCCCCGGCAGGCCAGCGGTCAACTATGCCCCCATCAGCACATCTGTCCCTTTTTCTCGATGGGGGATAGACCTTGTGGGCCCTCTGCCGAGGGGTACCTCCAACAACAGGTACATCATTGTGGCCGTCGACTACTTTACCAAGTGGGTGGAGGCTGAACCCCTCGCCAGCATCACAGAGGCAAAGTGCCGTCACTTCGTCCTCAAGAACATCCTCACAAGGTTTGGCGTCCCCCAGCAGATCATCTCCGACAATGGGACACAATTTGAGGCAGCCCCCTTCTGTGCCCTTCTGGAGGCATGGGGCATCAAACACACCTTCTCCTCCGTTGCCTACCCTCAAGGCAACAGGCAAGTAGAGAACGCCAACCAGACCTTGCTCGAAGGCCTAAAAAAGAAGCTAGAGGCCGAGGGCGGTGGCTGGGTGGAAGAACTCCACAACATCCTTTGGGCCTATCGCACCACCCCTCGGCGAGCAACAGGTGAAACACCCTTCTCCCTCTGCTACGGTTTTGAAGCCAAGGCTCCTACGGAAGTCACCCTTCCCACCCGAAGGGTAATCCAATATGACCCCGAGGTCAACGACAGCAACATGGCCCTCGACCTCCACCTCATTTCAGAACGCCGGGAGCAGGCCTTCATCCGGGCAGAAAACTACCGAAGGCAAGTTAAAAGCTACATCGATGCCAAAGTTCGCACCCGAGAATTTCAAGTGGGGGACTATGTCCTCCGGAGGAGGGAAGCCAGCCAACCAACCGAGGGAGGAAAAATGGCACCAAAATTCGAAGGCCCCTACATCATAGCAGCCATCATCAAACCCGGGACCTACAAGCTCAAACGCCCCAATGGGAAAGAAGTCCCTAGGCACTGGAATGTACACCATTTAGTTAAATTTTATCAATAATGTAAGAGCGGCCAAGCCCTCATAACTAGTGAATGTACTATCCTATGGCCCAAGGCCTCCAATTTCGAAGAATGAAGATACATTCAAGACATCAAGCCCTCATACTGACTACAGGCCCCAGGCCTCACCACGAGAAGAACCCCCTCCGGCACCAAGTGCCGAGGCCGGACACCATCAACACCTACAACAAATAGTGAAAACGCCACGTGTTTTCAGTCAAGACCCCTCGGCACCCAGTGCCGAGGGAGGGAACTCCTATCACCAACAACAAGGAACGCCATGTGTTTCATTTCCCTTCGGCACCCAGTGCCGAGGGTACATTCCCACCTTCAACATCAAAAAAGAAAAGATGAGAACACCAAGTGTTCCTACAGAAGACCCTTCGGCACCCAGTGCCGAGGGTACACCTCCATCATCAAACATCGAAACGAAGAAAAAAAAAACACCAAAATGTTTCAAAGAAGACCCCTCGGCACCCAGTGCCAGGGATATGCTCTCCTATCAACTTCCAAACATCTGTTGGGAAACACCGAGTGTTTCATTCGAAGACCCTTCGGTACCAAGTACCGAGGGTAGACGCCTACATCAACTATGACAAAAGAGAACACCAAGTGTTCCTACAAAAGACCCCTCGGTACCAAGTACCGGGGGCTACACATCGAAACTAACACCAAGTGTTGTTTCTAAAAGCCGTACCCCACGAGGACGCATATACCGAAGGCGCCACCATCGGTGCCGGCGGCACGTAGTGCCCCCCGCCATTTGCAACTAGTGTGCAAATGAAAACCCTTCCTTGAAACGCTTTCCGCGTCACTACCCCCAGGGTATGACAGGCATGAGAAATGCCCAGGATTCGACTTTCAAAAACGGAACGCTATCCGCGTCACTACCCCCAGGGTATGACAGGCATGAGAAATGCCCAGGATTCGACTTCCAAACCGAAACGCTCCCCGCGCCACCACCCCAAGGGTGTGGCAGGCCACGGACTATGTCTAGCGCCGAGGGGACGACTTTCAAAAATGAGGAGCTTTCTGCGCCATCCCCCAAGGGGAGGCAGGTTACGGACCACCATATCTTGTGCCCAGGAAACGTCCCTCGATCCCCTCGGAACTCGGAAGGTTAACCCGAGGGAGGAGAGCCATTGGTGTATTCCGATGGTCTCCTAATAGGCCCAGCCTTACCAAGAAACCAAGTTTCTTGATGCCTTCCCTTCACCACCAACTAAAAAAAAAAGGGGGGGGGGGGGGGGGGGTGAAGGGGAGTAGACTCAGCGAGAAATCAAAGAGTACACTCCAACAGATCACAACAAGCCGAGGGCTCCCCACGGGAACACCTCCGGTAACTGAAGGCTCCTATTTCCCGAAGGATACTACTCAAACAAATATCATCAGGAAACGGCTAAGTCCACTACCTGGTCACCTCCGGTCACAAAAACACCGAAGGCTTCAACAATACAAAGGGACTGGACTATCCAAGGTCCACTAAACGGTACTTCAAACAAACACCGAAGGCATCTGTTATGCACAAATACCGAGGGCCTCTTCCCCATGACAAGGGTCAAATTCTACAACTTTTAAAGTGTATGCCGAGGGCACACACTCCTCATTGGCTTTCTTCACAACAACAGGACTCAACATCAATTTATGCTTAGAAAAAATTCTAAGTCCTGAAGGAGCAGCCCCCGGGCATCTCGCAAAGTAATGTAGAGTCAGAAGGCACCTATCACCCGAAGGCTACACAAAGAAACAACACTTGAAAAATTCCAAGTCCTAAAATTGGGCCCCCGGCTCAATCAACACTACAGCCAGGGGAATACAATCGCCGAAGGCTAAGCGATACAACAACACTTGCAAACAAAGAAAATTTCTATGTCCTAAAGATGGGCCCCCGGCTCAGTCAGTATTGCAACTAGAGGAATATGACAGTCGAAGGCCATACATCAAGAAGGGATGCCATCTCCCGAAGGCTCCCAAGGGAAAATCCACACTTAGAATGTTTTCTAAGTACTACATGCTTTTCCCCGGTCAACTACTTATACATCAAGGAGGGATGCCATCTCCCGAAGGCTCCCAAAGGAGATTTTGCACTTAGAAGATTTTCTAAGTCCCACATATTCCCCCCCCCCCCCCTGACAGCTACTCATACATCATGAAGGGATGCCATCTCCCGAAGGCTCCCAAGGGAAACTCTACACTTAGAAGATTTTCTAAGTCCTGCATATTTTCCCCCCCGGTCAACTACTCATACATCATGAAGGGATGCCATCTCCCGAAGGCTCCCGAGGGAAACTCTACACTTAGAAGATTTTCTAAGTCCTACATATTTCACCCTCATCTCAAGGGACCTAATTGCCGAAGGCTGCCTATCAATCGAGGGCTACAGTACACAAGGAATCAACACTCAAGAAAATTTTCTAAGTCCTAAAGAGTTAGCCCCCGGCCTATTCAATATTTCAGTTGGGGCTCCACAGTAGCCGAAGGCTACATGACATACTACACTTGCAAAAAATCTCTAAGTCCTGTGCGTTGGGCCCTCGGTCCAACATTCACACATCAGGAAGGGATGCCATATCCCGAAGGCTCCCAAGGGGAAATCTACACTTAGAAATTTTTCTAAGTCCTAGGATTTGGGTTACTGCAAACACCCGAAGGCCCTATGGTGTGCTACACTTAGAAAAATTTTCTAAGTCCTAATTGCGGCTGAACCCTCGGTTGCATATCCAGCAGAGGGTGCCCAACTACCGAAGGCTTCCAAGGGCAAGCTACAATCGAAAAACATTCTAAGTCCTAGACATACATTCAAAAATACCGAAGGCACACACTCAAGGAAAACGGAGGCATACATTCAAGAAGGAAGGAATTGGAGAAAACAATTTATATATACAAAGCCCGAAGGCATTCAATCATTCATCACAACAAAGAGTGAATATAGTTATTACAATGTTAGGCCGAGGCTATTACAAAATTGTTCAAATTACAGAATACATATCAAATCATGTCATTCCCGGGGGCGGCCTCCCCCGATGGCTTCGAGGAAACTTCTGCATCGGCCTCAGGATCGTCGCCCTCGGCTTCCCTTCGGAGCTCGGAATCCTCCAGGTCTGGCCTCTCGACATCAGGGGGGAGAGGGACACGGATATCTGGCTGCAGAGGGGGGAGCCCGTACGCCGCCGGATCAAAGTCCTTCGGCTCAACCTTCAGATGGCGGGCCATCCTCCAGTAGATGAGGGCTTGAGTGAAGAACTCACCCCCATCATAATACTGCTTACCCTTCCAGGCCATCCACTCCTCCCCCGGGCCCTCGGACCATTCATCAACCGAGGCCTCAACAACCGAAGACAACCATGCCTTGTGCCCCTCGGTCTTCCACCCCCCATCCAGGAACCCGGAGATGGCCTCCTCCCGGGCTGTGGCGACAGCCTTCGCCTTGGTGGCCTCAGCCTCCTCGGCTGCTCTCCTTGCAGACTCCGCAGCGGCCGCCTTAGCTTCTGCCTTCTCCTCCCTGAGCCTCTCGGCCTCCGTCCTCGCAAGCCGGAGGTCCTCCTCAAGCTGGGCCATCAGCTTCGTGGCCTGGGAGTCCCTAAGGATCAGCTCCTTCATCTTGGCGTCTTGCCTAGCTTTGTGGAGGCGCCATTCCTCCAGCCGTCAGAACTGCTCCCCGAGGGCAACGCAAGTCTGCAAAGATAAGCGGGTTGTCAGGGTCAAACGTGATTTCTTAGTTCAAAGTGGGAAACAAAAAGACAAACTACAGTGAACTCACCGTGAGGGAAGACCAGAGGATCCTGTCTTCAAGGGCTTGATCATCATCGGCCCCGAGAGCTGCCCTGTCGATATCGAGGGTTATACCTCTCAGGAGCGCCCTCGGGTCAGCCGTGCCATTCAACACGGCCATGCCAGCCGGAAGGGAGAGCGTGAGGACCTCGAGAGATGGCTCCCGGACCCCCCTCGGCACCTGCGCCGTCGGCATCTCCGGAGGGTCATCTATAATCACCACCGGGGGGTCATCCTTCGCGGCATCCCCCTTCTTTAACTTTTTGGGGGCTTGGGGGGGCTCCTTTGCCGACGGCTTCCTCTTAGCCGCAGCAGCATCGCCCTCGGGCTTTTTGAGGGGCGCACCGACGGGCTTTTGGCCACCTGCGTCCGGCCCCTTCGGATCCTTGGCCGGTTTGTTCTTGAATCGGGCGAGGCCTTTGACGTTCATCATACTTACTGGAACACCTGCAAAAAAAATGAGGGGTTAGGATCGAGGGGTCACTACTAAGTGGCATAAAGGATTAACAAAACAAATGAACAAACGTGCTAAGATGAGGGTGAGAATGCCCTCAGCTACTACCTCCGGAGGCTCCCTCAAACACTGGGAACTTCTCATCAGTTTCCCCCAGGAACCGGTACCGCCGGAACCCGAGGGTGTAGAGATCTGCTTCTTTGGTGCAATCCTTGATGGAGATATTCTTGTCCCGGCCCTCCGGGATCATGGCCAGAATCCTGCCATCTTTCTCGAGGGCGGCGCTCCTCCTCTTCTCGTGCCTCCTGAAGCGATCACGCAGCTCCCTCGGGAAGGGGCTCTCGGCTAGCTTCACATAGCACCACCGGTCCTTCCACCCCTTGTTCGAGGAGGGCGCCTCGGTGAAGAGTTTGAACACGGACACCTGCTGCAGATTGGCGAATCCCTCGGCATTCGCGTGCCCCCCCCCCCCCCGGCACAGGTTGAAGCTCTGGAAGAAGAGGTCCAGGCTAGGCGTCACCCCCCGGGACTTACAGAGCTGAAGGAAGCCAGTGATATAAGATGGCTATTCGGGGTCAGCTGGCAGGGAACCAAACCGACGAACCGAAGATACTCCCGGAGGAAGGGGTGCAAGGGGAAGCGGAGCCCCATGGATACTGAGAGGACGTGCACCGCAATGCAGCCCTCGGGAGCCCGAGAGAGAACGTCATCCGGACCCGGTGTCACCACGATGGCCGAGGGGCCCACGTGAAGCTGGGTGACATAGATGTCCGCCGCATCAACCTTCGACTTGATCTCCAAAGCGGCGGTGTTGAGATAGGAGTACCCCTCGGGCATGTCGAGGGGCTTCCCTTGATCTGCTACGCTGCCCTTCTTCTTGGGAACAGCGGCCTTGGCCTTCTTCTTTCCGGGGGCCACCCGGAGGGGGACCGCATTCAGCGGCCGAGAGGTGCTGGCCTCCTCGGCACCCCGAGGGGGGAGCGCAGCAACGGTGACCCTCTCGCTTTCTCTTTGTGCCTCCTCTTCAGCTGCTTGCCAGGCGATGGCCAACTCTTCGTCCTCACATTCTTGCTCAAAGCCCTCGGCCTCCGCCTCAGCTACGAGGGCTTTTTGCAACTCCAAGGCAATGACGGCATCCTGTCCCACCGAGGACTCTGCACTTGAGGACTCCACGTCCGAGAGGACTTCATCCTCCACCGAGGGCGCCCCCGAGATATCTTGAGAATCACTCTGGGACGACATGCTGACTCTAGTTCGAAGGCTCGTGCACGCTAGCGTTTCTAAATTTTCTATCTCCTAACCTAAGGGCACAGTACAGGTAGCTAAGAGGTGAAGGGAAAGCGGGCACTGACCTTGAAAGCAGAAGTTCTGACCGAAGGCCTGAGTTTCTCTCACTAGATTTTTTGGCAGAGCTTCGCTAAGGCAACTGAATTCGCACAGCGGGAATGGCTCTGGCCTTGGGGTATTTATAGGCGCTGGAATCCGGGCTTGGGCCCGGAAACCGGGCCTCCGGACGGACCGCCATCATTACACACCGTCGTTTCACCCAACCGGTGACGCCGCCCGCGAACAACCAGCCATCACGCGCCACGTGTGCCACCCCCCCCAACGGCTATAGCCTGTCGTTACATATTCCAACGGCTATATTTCCAACGGCTATATTCTGGAAGCCCCCGGGTTTTCTACTTCACTCCACTTCATCAAGGATAGCCTCCGGGTACACTCACTCAGAAGTGCCCCCGGACTGCGCCCCACACAGCACATAACAGACGCCTTCGGGATCACTCCTTCAGAAACCCAGGGCTGCATATCAGGGCACCCCTCGGGGATTCCCCCTCAGCACTGCGAAACCGGGATAGCCCCCGGGGAGTTGCCTCATTGACGGATGACCCGTGGCACCCAGGTAATGGGAGCCCTCGGGTACCTTCATCACCAACTAATCAACAAACAGTGGACCCCCCGGTAACAACTCCATCGCCGCCCTCATCCAGCAGGCCCTCGATCCCCGGATTGAGGGGCTCCCCTTCGGCGCCACCAGGACATCAACAGCAAGCCTTCGGCCAATCAACACAGGAGCCCTCAGAAGAGAGAGCCTTCGGCATTCCCGTTATTCTCCATTTTTACCAAGGTTTGACATTTTCGATTCATCATTGGGGGAATTCGGTGCACTCTTTTTCCCTCATTAGGATTTTTTCCCACAGGGTTTTTCCTAATGAGGTTTTTAACGAGGCATCCCCCCAAAATGAAACGAAAAGCGTCAGCCTTCGGCCCACAACAGCAACGTAACTACTTTACTCCTTTTCACCACTTTACAAGTGCCTCAAGGAGTGGGGGACTGGAGGACCCCTTCGGGAAAATCATTAAATTACAAAATCTGTGAAATTCCAACAAACAACAAAGCAAGCCCTCAAGTCCCGACATGTGGGTAACTGAGGGACTGCCTTCGGCAGGGACATAAAAGCAACAACTCCTCACCAACTTCAGAGATCACGACGGGACAACATCAAAGGGCAAGCACAAATTACTCCTTTTCCCTCAAGTACCTTTCGGCAAAAGGAGTGAGGGACTCCTGATGGAGTATATGGCCCGGGAACCCCCGGCCCACAGACTCCTACTACTCCAGCGAAGGCCCAACAGACCCAGAAGGCCCAACAGGCCCAAATCACAGCGCCCAGAGTACCAGTCAGTCCGCACTACGCGCCAGGGGTGCCTTCGGCCCCCTGGCCGAAGGCTCCAAATTCTCACAGAACGGGTTTCTCAAGCAAACTAAGAAACTGGGAGAAAACGGCGAAAACAGTAGCCCTCGGCACTGTGAGCCCTCGGCACCAGGGTGCCATCGGGTGGAAGAGCCCTCGGCTACTGCTCTATAGCCGAAGGCATCTCACTCGACAAGATATCCGCCTCACATGCGTACAGATCTCCGTACCCCGCACAGACGTCCCGTCCAACAGCCGCATTAAATGCGGCCACATGCGGCTGCCAGCGCCAACCAGTTGAGGTGACCCCTCGGCCAATGAGCGCTTGACACGTGTCCCTGCCCGGCATTTATTGCTACTATAAATAGCACCCCATTTCCCCATTTGTAACCACGCTGAAAACGGCATTCATACTGAATACACTCTCTCTCTACTTTTACTTACTTGCTCTGACTTCTTTCTAAGTTATTCCCCGCAATAACCCTTCGGATATATACCCCCGGGTAGACTATCCATCATAACTCTTCAATGTTTTCATCATAATATTTTAATCAAATAGATTACATTCTTAGTTTTTTTAATCCGGAAGACAAACTACCAAAATAAGTGGGGTAAGATTACATTCTTAGTTTGTTGCATGACTATGAGAATAGGACACACGTTGTCTATTTATCCGAAGTAATCGAGGATAAAATGTGCACTAATATAAAGTATTTACAATGGGGGTGTTTGGATCTAATTCTTAAAACTGCTTCTGCTCCGTCAGGGAGCAGAAGCAGAAGATGAAGTGTTTGGGTGAAAATGCAGAAGTGATTCTAGTGCTCTAAATTACTCCTAGAATCGGTTTTTTTAGAAGCTGGGGGGTAGCAACTTCTGAAAACTGATTCTGATTCTGCTTCTGCTTTAAAAAAAGAAGCAGGAGCAGAATCAGTTCCAAACACCCCCAATACATAGTAGCAATAGAATATTACTATTTGATCAATCATTTGATAAAATTTTATGTGACACCATACATATATTCTTTTACCTAAAAAATGAAAATAATAAAAATTGAGAATTACCGAATCACTCGTTGCCCCAATAATCAAATGCATATCTTAGCTTCTCTCACATGAGTCCTGCGGAGTGTGCAATGCAATAGATCAATTGGTACAACCTATAGGTGACTATTTCTTATAAAAGTTATTTGATCAACAAATAGTTGCTCTCAACCATAAAGAAATCAAGTAAAAATGCTTATGAATTGGAAGATAGTACTAATAACGAAATTATGCTTCATATTCTTATTATCTTACAGTCTTACACTAAATCTTTTCTTGATGTGAGTAACATGTGTCCGGGGTTTATTTCACTAACCATTGTCCAAGTAAGGAGTTGAAATTGTAAAGAAAAAATGAAGTAAATCTTACTAATGTAAAGATGAAGGGCAAAAATATGACCTCCAATATGTAGTACCCATATTAGCAATTTTTAGTTACTATAATAATTATATTCAATTTTACACTATAGTGACAATGTTATTACACTCGTAGTAACTCGACCCACAGCTTTGTCCATGAATTTAATTTGGTTAATATCTTAGGAAAAACATATGAAGCATATGTTAAAAACGCAATTTTCACTCCTTATAAGTTGTACTGTGAAATCATTGACCAAAATAAAGAAAGAAAGATATTTTCTTGTAATTTACAATGTTCAATATGTCACATAGCCAACCTTGTCAATGGTGTTTGCAGTAAACTCAAATTAGAATACTCAACACGAAATTGATATAATACAACTATTAAAAAGAAAAAGTTCTATGTCAGTGCATGAGTGTTTAGTTAAGGACCTCCTCATCTTGTGATGAGTATATCAGTTGAGGTTGATAATCTCGCATATAGGAACAGAGCTATTAGAATAACTGTAGGGATGTTTGCAATTCCCAGAATTCCAAAATTCCTCCAATCAGAACCGGAACCACATAGCAATGCTTCTAGTATGGCTCTAGAACCAACAGTCCCAATCCAGTTTGACGGTTTTGATATTCCTTTTCTTGTTGCTACCGAAGTTTATTTCTGCTAATAGATGGTTGGGATGCGACTTAAATTAGTGTTGGATGATATGAGGCAGAAGGCAACAACAATTCCAACTTGGAGTGTGTTAATTTTCAACAACTCCCACATGGAGTGTTCGACAGCGATAGCAACGACACTCTACCTCAAGTCAACACTAACCCAATCCATCCAGGCTCCCTAAAAGCACACTGTACAGAGCAGAGATTAGCAGTAGATTTTAAATTCAAAATTCCAAATTGAAAAAATCCAGTTTATAAATGGGGCATCATGTTTCCCACATAAATGAAGCACCAAGCATGCATCTATCTCAAGACATCATGTTCTTGAGAATGGAAGCAACTATAAAGTGCAACTTATAGTTCCCATTAATGTGCTTTAAATCTTATTCAAAGAATATAAAAAATAAAACTTTGCTTAGCAAGTAAGTCTTAAGATGTATTTTAGTGATTTGATATGATAATGTTATTGAATGAGAGCCTAAATGATCCATTTAAAAGTATTCGCTAAAACTTCAGTGATAAGCAATATGGAAATAAAGAGAATCCTCAAAAAAATTCTTAACTACTTGCTCACATTCTGAAAACTCACTATATGAAAATAAAAGTTCACAATAATTATCCAATTACACAGGTTGCTCAGCTTGGTATAAGAAAATTTTCATTAAAGCCATGAAAAGTAGATAGATATATGAAATAATATGATATTTAGAGAAAAATACAAACAAATGGGTTCAAAATGCATGGGGTTCATAATGAAGCAATAAGAGATGCACTTCCCAGAACTATCACCTTCAAATTAAACGAAATTGGAAATTTATTTATATTAACATACGGAGTATATTTTAAGTCACCTAAAAGACAAAACAAACAACTATTTTAAGTATTGTTTGCTGATCAATATCATAACATCATGGCTGAAATGAACTCAACCACTTTTCTAAAATCTTCACAGGGGCCGGAGGTCAAAAATTACTAAATCTATCACAAAAGAAGGCCTAAACCCTTAGGAACATTTAAGTGTGTATTTTGTTAAATCTGGGGAGTTGGAAAACTGTTTTAGAAAATCTGGCGGATTTCTCGGAGTATCGTGTGATCACTTTCCGAATCTAATATTTCGACCCTATGCCTGGGTTACACGAAATTTAGATTATGGGGATAATCACTCTGAGAGACAGTCTAAAACTGATGCACCAATATATAGACCACGAACTAGCAGTTTTAGTAGAACTCGAATTCTTCTGATTACCAAAGAGATAAGGCCAATCGGTTGGACCCCGCAAGGGGGCGCAGCCCCCTTGACCCCCGCCATTTAATCGAACCAAGTTTAAATTTAATTTCGTACAAGTGTGCGCTCCACACCTCCTAACTTGTCTAAAATTAAACTTGAACTTCATTGGTAATCTGTAAATTCCATTACACTAAAATGAACCTGGTGATACTAAAATCACCAACATATTTGAATGTAGTTTTTTCTTCCTAAGATCTCTCTTTAGTTTCTTTATCTTTACTTGGCCTTTGAAACTGATCCGGAAGAAGGTTCATTTATTTACCTTGAAATTCAAAACAATCACAAAGAAAAATGCAGAACTAATACAAAACAGAAAAGTAGAAAGTAGAAACCTTTAGTCTAAAATTAAAACGTGTTCTGTAACTTGGAAATACAAATAAGATAAATACTAAAAGAACAAAGGGTGATGGTAGAGAATGGTCTAAGTTTACCAAGGCATTAGTGATGGCAGGAGATGATCTAAGTTGACCAAGGCAGATAATTGTTGACTCTGCAGTCCAAATTCCTAGCAAGTAGCAACTGAGACAAACATCACATTCCCATAACTATTAACTTCAAATTAAACCAAACTGGACATTTGTAATAACATACTCCGTATATTTTAAGTCACTTTATGCCATCACAATGGTGAAATCATATTTAGAGAACAAAAGAATGACAATTTACAGATAGGAAAAAGCAAGCAAATGGGGTTCATATTTCAAAATATATGAAATAAGCAAGAATAAGCAACACCTAATTTATTGCAGTTCGTATTAAACTAAAAAGTTGTCATTATCATAGCCAGCCTTGTAAATGGTGTTTGCCAGAGTCAATTAGAACATTCAACACAAGATTTATATTGTACAACCATTAATAAGAAAGTTTTATGTCGGCCCACAAGAGTTATTTTTGATGGACTGACCAAAAAACAATAGATTGGGTATAAAATAGGTAGTTACACAAATTATAGGTAGTTACACAAATACCCTTGTGTGTGAGCGGGAATGAGACTTAACTCAATTAATATATATATATATATATATATATATTTCAATTCTCAAAAAAAAAATGAGGCGTTTTTTTCTTAATTTCAATTCTCGATAGTGTTAGTGTGAGAGTTTATCTAATGTGGTGGCTCCTCGTGCGTATCACGCCCTGAAACACATCATTATAACATCGTTTAAAATAATATCGTGACTTACTTTTCATCTAATTTGTTCATCCCTTGTTAACACCATTGGTCATAGAGAGCGTATAATGTATCAGTTCTATGGTGCTCATCGTACAACCAGAATTTTATGTTAAAAGAAATAAGTATAACGTTGAAAAGAAATGAGTATTGATATTACATGGAATGATAATGTTCTGATATACTTCGTATAACGTTAGTGTCGCTCAAACAATTGGTATCAGAGCCTCGACGTAATTCTGTTCGTTAGAATCCTCAAATTTTTCTGGAATTAATTTAATCAAAATCACAAGTTTTGGTTGAATTAGTTTTGGACTTGTTCTTGGAAAACTGCTATTTTTAGGAAGGTTGCTGCTACAAGGAAAAGCACAAAAGAAGAATCCTAGTGGATCAAGTTCCCTATTATTTTCGCTTACCCGAAATCCTTATTTCGGTACACTGAAGATTTCGAGCATTAGAAGAATTCGGGCACCCGAGATCTGAGTCACTCGAAATCTGGAATTTTGAAGCGCACCTGAGATCTCCAGTTCTTAAGCTTTGCCGAAATCTACAAATTCAAAGGAGACCCGAAATCAAGTCATCGGCCTACACCCGAGCTCTGCATATTAAACGCGCGCCCGAGATCTGGATTTCGGCCCATGCCTGAGATCAGCCACCGAGATCTCTATTCGGCCTACATTCGAGATCAGCTTCAAAATTTTGAGCAGGCCCGAGATCTTCAGATAGCAGACCCGAGTTCGTAACTTCGAGGAGAACCCGAGATCCTTTTCCGATAACTAACCCGAGAAGATTGCCGATATCTTCATCTAAAATCATCTACGAAATCGGCATTCGAAATCTTCTAAAGCAACACCGGATTCCTTTTCTATTTGAACAGTTATCGTCCTAAGATAAGTAAGGGTCAAAATTTTCAATATGGAAGCTTATACTCTGGGAAGTGATTCAAGACCTCCTCTACATAGGAGAGGTGAATTTACTGTCTGGAAAGTCCGATTTTTGAACTTCATACGAAGCAGAGACAATGGGGAAAATATCCTTAAATCTCTAAATGAGGATCCAATTGAAATATGGGTTTGTGTTCATGAAGTTACACCAATAATCCTCCTACACCAGCAGACAAAGCTCTCAAAAGTGAAGATGATTATTCAGAACATGAAAAGCTAATCTCCTTGCAGCCACCTATCTGCTTCAAGCAATCCCCAATGAACTTTTTATGAAAATTGACAGCCTCACAACGGCTAAAGACATGTGGGATGAGATCCACCAGATCATGCAAAGAACTGATGTTGGCATAAAGACCAAAAGAGCTCACACTCTTACTGCTTATGATTCCTTTTCTACCAGAGCTGATGAAGAGTTGGAGGATACTTATCAGCATTTTCTAATGATCCTAAATGAGATGAGGAAAATCAACGTCCGCAAGACAAACATGGAAGTCAATATGCGTTTTCTAAGATCTCTTAAGCCATAATGGAGGAAGACAACTAAAAGAATCAGTCAAAACAAAGACCTGGATGAGCTGACCATCCACAATATTTATGACTGTTTAGGAAATTTTTCTGAGGATGTATTCGAAAATGTGAAAAACACAAAAGAAAAGAATATTTTTCATTCTCTTGCTCTTCTATCCACTAAAAGGAAGAAGAAAGAAAAGGCTCCAAAAATCACTTATGAAGTAGAATCACCCGATGAAGAAAATAACAGTCTGATTCTGATCCAAAGATCAATGAGCTGAAAAGGGAACTTACTCTGCTGACTAATCTTACAAAGGAGATGAATAAGAAGTTCACAAGATTTAGAACCCCATCAACCAACAACAAACAAAGATTTTCTTCTTTCAACTATTCTGATAAAGTCAGCGGACCTTGAGCTGTCAACGGAGATCATCTGAAATGCTTCAAGTGTGGCAAGCTATGACATTTTTCTAAAGAGTGCAGATCTGCAAAGAAGAAAGACTTCAATTACTACATGTAAAAGGCACAACTTGCTAAGCAAAAAGAGCAAGGAGTTGTTCTAATGGCTGAACATGACAGCTGGCTAGAAGATCATGTTGAGGTATTATTCATCTTCTTAATTGACTATCATCATCTCTTGTTTCCTTCTTAATTGACTATCATCATCTCTTTGTCTGCGAAATCACATTTATTTCTTCCTCGGATCAGGTTGAGGTATTATTCATCTTCTCAACTTACTATCATCATCTCTTGTCTCCTTGTTAATGGGTATACAATATGGGATCTACTAATTGTTTATTTATATACAAATCTTAGTTGAAGATTTATTATTTCGAATTGGGAAATCGTGACGTACGTAACTTTTCCCCCATTCTTGAGTAAGAGGAGTTGAGTCTGTTTTTGTTCATTAGAGCAATATCCTTTGATGGATAAGTGTACTCGGGGGGTATCTATCTGAGGGGTTATTGCGGGGAGAGAGTAGAGAGAAGGCAGAGCAAAAGTAAGAGAGAGAATATGTATTGCTGAGAAAGTATTGAGCGTATTGAGCTTGGATTACAAATGGGGAAAGGGGTGCTATTTATAGTAGTAATAAATGCTAGATAGGGACACGTGTCATCATTCTGGCGGTCAAGGGGTCACCTCAACAGGGTGGCACTGGCACTCGCTTGTGGCCGCATTAAATGTGGTGGTTGGATGTGACGTTTGTACTTGGTACGTTGATCCAACGCATGTGGGTGGGAGATTCTGTCGAGGAGAAGCCTTCGGCCGTAGATGATTAGCCGAAGGCTCTTCATCCCGGGGGACTCTAGGTGCCGAGGGCTCTAGATGCCGAGGGCTACTGTTTTCGCCGCTTTCTCCCAGACATTTTGAGTGCTTAAAAAGAAGCTGTATTGTAAGCTTATGAGCCTTCGGCCAAGGGGCCAAAGGCATCCCAGTTTTCGCTATGGGCTGTTTGGCACTTAGGGCACTGTGATTCGGGCCTGCTGTGCTTCCTGGGCCTATTGGGCCTTCGCTAAAGTAGTGGGAGTCTTTGGGTCGGGGGTTCCTGGGCCATATACTCCATCTGGAGTCCCTCACTCCTTTTGCCGAAAGGTACTTGAAGAAAAAGGAGTAAAATGCGTTTGTCCTCTGATGATGCCTTGCTGTAGTTTGTAAACCTGTGAGAGACTTTGCGTTCGCACACGACTCTGCCGGGGGCAGCCCTTCAGTCCCCCACATTTTGGGACTGAAGGGTGTTGATGCTATGTGAGAATAATTTTTTAGCATTTTTTTGATTTTCCCGGTTCCCGGAGGGGTTCTCCAGTCCCCCACTCCTTGAGGCACTTGTAAAGTGGTGAAAAGGAGTAGAGTAGTGCCTGCTGTCGCATGGGGCCGAAGGTTGACACTTTTGGTTTCATTTTGGGGGGATGCCTCGTTAAAAACCTCATTAGAAAAAACCCTTTGGGAAAAATTCTAACGAGGGAAAAAGAGTGCACCGAATTCCCCCAATGATGAATCGAGAAGGTGAAGCCTTGGTCCGATATGGATGACAGTATTGATGTCGAGGGTTATCTATGTCTGAGGGCGTTTGTGTTGATTTGCCGAAGGCGCTTTGTAAATATTATGGGAGATGCCGAAGGGGAGTCCCTCAATCCATGAGATTGAGGGCGTGATGAATGTAAATGGTAGTTGTTGTGTTGCCGGGGGGATTCTCTACCTGTTGAAAAGCTGGGGATGAGGGCACCCGAGGGTCCCGTTGTTGTATGCCGAAGGCTGTCCATCTAAGAGGGGATTTAAATTTGATGTCCCCGAAGGGTCTCCTTATTGTGTGACCGGAGGGACAGTTGATGAAGGTGTGCTCCCCCTGAGTTTTCCTGGCCCTCAATGCGTTGAGGGCTGAGGGTTCTCGAGGGGTTTACCCATTGTTAAGCCGTGGGCTCCTGAAGGAGAAAGCCCAAAGGCACTTGTGATGTTGTATGAGGGGTACCGGCGGGGAGCGCCCCTGTGTTTTCAAAATATAGCTGTTTGCAATAGGACCGTTGGAATATGGAACGTTTAAAATGTAGCTGTTGGAGAGGACTTCCACGTGGCGCGTGGTTGTTGGCTAGCTTCGGGCGGGTATCACCGGTTGGCGGAAGAGGGCGACGTGTAATGATGACTTTCGTAACCGGAGGCCCGGTTATGGGCCCAAGCCCGGATTTGCGTGCCTATAAATACCCCAAGGCTTGAGCCTTTCCCCGTATGCGATTCATTGTTAGCGAGGCTCTGCCAGATTTTTTCTAGAGAGAGAAACAACCCTTCGATCAAATCCTTACTTCCCAACGTCAGTTGCTCCTCCTGTTCTCGAGTTCCTTAGCGTATTTTCGCCCTTAGGCTAAGTGATAGAGTTGTTTAGGGAGCCTTCGATTTCTAGAACCCCTCATCCACTAGTTCTCGAGGATGTCTTCACAAAGCGATTCTCAAAACATATCGAGGGAGCCCTCGGCAGAGGAGGAGAGTATCTCATATGTGGAGTCCACGAGTGAGCAGCCTTCGGTGTAGATTGTAGTGTCGGGGGTTGCTGGAACTTGGACTTAGGAAATTCAAGATCATGTCCGTGGGTGCTCGCCCTCGGTCATAGTTGGTTCCAAAGTGTGGACTTAGGAAAATTTTGTAAGACATTCATGTTGTTAGTAAGGG